GGTCACCAAAACAATAAAAAATATATATAAATAAAGGAAAACAAGTTGAAAAATGGAAAGAGATCAAAGAGAGTGAGGGGAGGGAGGCAAAAGAAGGCAATAGGGATTGAATAACCCAAAACACATTAATGCATGTATGAAAACATGATGGAATCCACTTTTATGTGTGACCAATATATGCTAATAAAAACATAAAAATAGTAGTATTGTTGGTGGCAAAGCTGGAGAGATCTCAAAGATTGGCAGAGCACATTCACATCACTACTCAGTGTTTCCCAGTTCCCACCTCCATCAAAGAAAGGGTTAACAAATGGGACAAGGAAAGGAATTGTGAAGAAGTTTGTCACAGGGCAAAGGAACACACTTAATGGATATATAGACTTCTCAGGAAAGAGTTACACTGTGGAAATTTTGCAACAGCACCTTTCACAGGTTAACTTTCCATTCCTTCCCTCCTTTGTTCCTTCCTTCCTTCTTCTTTTTTCACTTATTTATTTATTATTATTATTAATTGATTGATTTTTATAATGGGGATTGAATGGACTGAATGAGCATAGAACCTCACACCTGCCAGACAGGTTTCTACCTCTGATCTACATCTCCATGTCTTCTTTTCTTTTCTTTTCTTTTTTTTTTTTTTTTTGGTTTTGGTTTTTAAGTTTTTTTTTTGCTTTTTTTTAATTTAAATTCAAACAAGAATGATTTTCATTACAAACCCAGTTCCCTTCCCCCCCCCCTCCACCCCTACCACCCCCCCAACTAAAACCCTACCAATCACATATCCTTTCTTCTAATCTACACCTGACTCAACCTTTCTGCTCCTGCATGACCTCTGTATTCTTCCTTTTCTTCCCTTCTCATTCTTGTAGCTCCCTTCCCCCTCTTCCCATGTTCTCAATTTGGTCTTTTAATACTTTTTGTTTCAAAACAGTCTCAGTAACTTACCCAAGCTGGGCTTAAACTCACTCTGCAGCCCAGACAGGCTTTAAACTCTTGATTCTTCTTCTAAATCAGCCCCCTCTGCACCTAACACACAGAAATACCTAGGACTATTGACCTGTGCCACCAGGCCATGATTGCTTGATATCTTATAATGGACTCAAGTATTATTTGAGAGTCAAGATGGGAAAACAGTGGGAATTCTAAGAATGGCTCAGCATTTTTCCAGATTACAACTGCCCCTTTCTGTCTGGCCATGGCATTGCCTTTTCGGGCCATAGGTAATATAACAGATATATTCAATTATTCCATGAGCTTCGTACTTTCATTATATAGCCACCTTGCCACTATACCAGTGGCACACACAGTGATGCCATAGTCATCATGTGTTAGCATGGGAACAAAGGCTTTTGCCTTCACGAAGTGATGAATATAGAGCACACAGGAAGGTTAAGCAGCCTGGCCACTGAGGAGTTAAGTAGGAAACTAAATGTATTGTGTTGGATTGGCTGCCTAAGATATATTACAGTAGAAATTTTAAGCTGTGGTGTATAGATAAGAAAATGAGGCCGGGAACAGAAAGTGATGGCACTAAGGTCACATAGTAGAAATTTAACACCCACAGACAAAGTTCTCACTCTGTTTGCTAAAACCAAGATGGCAGCTCTTGTCCCATTCTTAGATGTTGCTCAAGGATCATGAGAAAATGGTTTAGAAAGTTACTTTCACATTATTTTGATATAGGGATTATTCTATGTGGATATAGTTTAAAGCCCCCCCATCTTTATTAATGTCCTTGTATCCTAAAGGCTATTCATCAATCCTGTATCCTAAAGGCTTACATCAATCAATTCTATTTTTCTCTCTTCTCAACCTTTTCACTGCTTTGATGGTTTTATCTACTCTCACCATTAAGGTGAAGTATCCTATGGTGTGTGTGTGTGTGTGTGTGTGTGTGTGTGTGTGTGTGTGTGTGTGGTCTTAATTATATGTGGGTGGGCTCACATGGGAGTGTGCATATTCATGTGTGTATGCATGCATGTGGAGAGCACAGACTGTCTAGATTTATCACTCAATTGCTCTGCACCTTGTTTTGCTGAGAGAGGATCTCTCAGAGAACCTGGGGCTTGATGACTCAACTTGATTAAGAGGTCAGCAGTCCTCAGAGATCCTGCTGTTTGTGCTTCCCCATCACTGGGATTACAGGAATGCACTGTCATCCTCAGCCTTTTCATGGGTGCTGAGGATGGTTCACTGGTCCTCATGCTTGCATGGTAAACACTGTATCTACTGATGCATCACCCCTGCTCCATACTCTCATAATTTTAATGTCATTTGTATCTTCAACATTTGTCTGTCCATCTCAGACCTTTACTTTGAGCCTCAGATATATATGTCTATCAGCTTGCAAATATCTTCACTTAAATGTCGAGATGTATTTTAAATTTAACATGGAGCAAACTGAACTAACAATCTTACTGTGGTCTAATATGGCCTGTCCTTTTTTCATTTCCCAGTACAAATTAATAGAACATGATTTATCTAGTTTATGTGACCATTGACCTTTGCATAACCTTTGATCCATTTCTCTCAAGTGGTTTCCTAGTGTGTTTGTTTGACTACATTTTCAAAATTTGTCCATTCTTTGATTACGTATTGTCTTCTACACCAACATCATCATACCTAAGTCTCCTGCACACTAACTTTAGTTCTTTCTTTTCTTTATGGTGTAATCTCTTAAAAATATATACAGGTCACAACATTCTTTACTTCAAACTTTCAGATGGTATCTTATCTCACTTAGAATTAAATTCAAGATCCTAGCCATGAGCTGGTCCTCACAATTCATTGAACATCATGTCTCCCTTCCCACCCCTCTGATCTTCAGTGTTATTTTTCCAAGCAACACTCTATCTGTTCCCAGGTGTGCCAAGTTCACAGCATTGGGGCCACATTGCACTAGCACTATCCCCTCTTTAGGTACATTTCCTCCAGTTGTCCCACTCCTTATGTTTAACAGAAATGCACCTCCTATGTGGTACTTTCTTCGGCCATTTTTTTTCTTGGGCCATTTTATAAAAAAATGACACCTGTCTTTTTTCCTTTTTCTCTTTCCTGCTGTGCATTTTCTTTCAGTTATTACCATCTAACATCATTATTTCTCACCTTCTCCTTTGTTTTCGAGAATTAACTTTTAAGAGTACAAAATACCTCAAACTTTATTTATCTAGAAACAAATTTCAGACATTTATTTTGCACCATAGAAATATTTCCCTCCATTCCTTGAACCAAGTATCAAATGATTGTTAAAGAGAAATTGGGATAAGCTGAAAGCAAAACTTCTTAGTAATATATGCAGATACTGTAGAAAAATCATAGAAATAATTGAGTTTTAAAATTCTTCCCAATATTCCATTGAAGAGGGAAAAAAGTACATGGTTTCAAATATGACAACAAAATTGGTTTCTTTTTAAAAAACATTTTTAAATTTAAATTAGAAGCAATCTTTTTTGTTTTGTTTTGTTTTTCAAGACAGGGTTTCTCTGTGGCTTTGGAGGCTGTCCTGGTAACTAGCTTTTGTAGACCAGGCTGGTCTTGAACTCACAGTGATCTGCCTGCCTCTGCTTCCCCAGTGCTGGGACTAAAAGCATGCTCCACCACTGCCCAGATCTTAAATTAGAAACAATCTTGTTTTACATGTCAATCCCAGTTCAATCTCCCTTCCCTCCTCCCATGCACCCACCCCACCAACCCCCTATCTCATCCCTTTTCTGCTCCCCAGGGAGGGTGAGGCCTTCCATGTGTTATAATCAAAGTCTGTCACATCATTTGGAGCAGAGCCTAGGCCCTCCCCTGTGTGTCTAGGCTGAGAATCCCTCTATATGTAATGGGCTCACAAATCCATTTGTACACTAGGGATAAACACTGATCCACTACCAGAGGCCCCATAGACTGTCCAGTCCTCCTGTAAGACCCCCCCACCTCCCAGAAAGCTCAGACCTCCAGGGTCTCAGCCCAGGACCTCAGTCACCCCAATCACCAGGCAGATTTGAAAGCTTGATGTAAACTGCATGAGGCTTTATTGTTGTTTAACGAGCTAATCCCATGTTAGCTAGGGTCTTTCACCCACCCGCCATGGTGGATGGCTAAAAAAAAGACAGTTCAAATGGGCTGCTAGGCAGGGTTTTTCTGTGACTTGTAACAACCTTTTCTCTGACCTTTGAAAACTTTCCTCTGACCTTCTATAACTTTCCTCTGACCTTTTACAACTTGCTTTAACCCTCTGTAACTTTCTGTGACCTCCAACAACTTGCTTTAACCCTCTGTAACTTTTACCGCTTGCTTTAACTCTCTATAACCTTTTATAACAATCTTTTCTGCTATGACTTGCTTTAATCCTCTATAACCTCCTAGTATTTCTCTGACTCTCTTAGACATTTTTAGACAAGTTCTCTTTTTTTTTCCTTTTTATTATTTACGTCTCCTACACTAGGACAAGGTCAGACAAGCACATGTTCAGCTGTTATGGCTGCCGAAATAGGGAGCTGGTCCCTTCAAAGTGTCAGACGCATGACTGAAGCAGACTATTTTGTAAGCCTAATTATCTGCAAATGCGGTTATAATATATCTAAGAACAGTTAACCTTGTTGGTCCCAGCTGGTTTGGGGTGGTCTCCAGTCTTTACTGTTTGAGCAGTCACATGATAGCCTGCTGTAATACAGCTCTGTGCTTGCATCAGCCTCTGGCCACCCTGCACTTCCCTCTTTTCTTCCATATGCTCACGCAGATAGTGGACCTCAGTAACACCTTATGAGTTAATCCATGTGCAGGTCTTTATGTGGTGAGTGCTGCACACAGCTGTATTACCCAAGTACCACAGCTATTGCCACTACTATTACTATGGTCCCAGCTGTACTACACTGGGCACTTCAACGCCTCTCAAAATACACCTTGCTTCAGCTTAACCTGGGTCAGAGCTCACTGTTGACTGAAAAATATTCTTAAGGGTGCAATGGTTGTCTTTGGTTTATGGACTGTAGCAAGCCATGGAAAGTCATTGTAGTTCTGTGTTTTGCCTCTAAACAACAAGCGTAGCAGTGTGAAGAGAGGCAAGCCCACAGTGCATTATTCACAGCTCGGAACTGACTCTCTGAAGATTCAATCTCACCTCCTAGTCCTCTGGAGCCACGCCAAGTTGCCTCTGTTGGGAGCTGCCTTCCAGCTTTGCCTTGCTTCTTGAGATTTGGCAGATAGAAGCCTGTCTGTGCCAATCACCCTGGCTATGTGGTGTGGCTTATTTTTTCAGTACACCACAGGACAGAATGGACAGGGAGGAACAGCACCTTCAGAAGACAGATGCAGGGGGCACCAATAAACTGGGAGAATGTTGAACATTTTGATCCAGATCCCCTAAGGAGCATCTCTTTAACCGTAAGTGAGCCCCTTAACCTTACTACAATGTTTCTTTTTCTACAAATTTGGTTCATTTAGGACACATCTCTTGGATGATTGCAAAATCATAATTAGTTAAGCCACTATATAATTAGTTAAGCCAGTGGTGAGACGGCTGACCCCCCAAAAACTAACTCTATCCTTTAACATCCACCCTCTGGAAAAATCATTTGATCTTTGACCTTTTGAGCATTCTGAAAGCTTCTCTGGCAGAAACTACTTAAAGGAAAAAAATTGCTGTCCATAAACACATAGTCATCTGTTGTGTGATATTTTGATTACATTCTGATAATAAGGTTTGCTTTGAGTAGAGGGTGGAGCTAGCCCCTAGCTGACCAAAATTATCCGTAGAGGTTTTAGAGGACTGAGGAGAGTAAGAGAGACAGGAAGTAGTAAGGCACGGCGGAGAGAGGATCTCAGCCTTTTGGATGGAGGAATGGAAGAGACAGGAGGTCACTGGTGGCTGCTCTGCTGCTTCTCTGATTTTTCAGGTTCTTACCCCGAGATCTGAGTCCCCAATTTTTTTATTGATAAATAATAATTAGATAAATGCATCAGTCATCTGTGACCGTGAGTGTGGAAAGGTGTTTATCCTCCTGTTCAAGGAGCCCTCCTCCCTCCACAGTTTCCTTACCAGAGGACTTGCTCTCGATGACTTCTTCCAAAGCACTGACTTCTTCCAAAGCACTGTTAACATCTGGGTTATCAGCCAAGATCCTCTTAGCCCCTCACCAGCCTCCTGGTTGTTATTTTCCTTCTTTGTCTTCATAAGATAACCTCACATCTTACTGTTAAAGACAGCCAGGCCTGCTGTCACAGGCCTATAACCCCACCTACTTAGAAGCCTTAGAGACAGGAGGAGGAGGCAGCACATGAGTTTAAGGCCTACCCAGGCAACTTATGGAGAACCTGTTCCAAATAAAGAGTGAAAAAGAGAACAAGGGTTATATATAGCTCAGGGATAGAATCAAGGTCTCAGTCCAGTCCCCCGCAGTGCAGGAAAACAAAAGCAAACATAAAAACATCTCCATGATCTAGGCTGGTGCCAACAAATGGCGTCAAAGACTTGCTTAGCTCTCTTCAAACTCTTATTTTGCAATTCCCAGCCCTACCACATAACTACAGTCATAGAATGCTGTATGATGATACATAACTGTTTGGGGGGCAATTTCCTATAAATATACCCCTGTAATATCAGCACTTGGGAGGCAGGAGGATTTCTGTGAATTTGAGGACAGCCTGGGCTCCACAGCAAGCTGCATTTTTGTTACAGTGGTAAAATTCCCTGACTTAAGACTGTATTAAAAAGGAAGGGTTTGGTTTGGGCTCATAATTGGAAGTACATTCATCGTGGTTGGGGAATCCTTGTGGCAGGAAGATGGTCACATCATATCCACAGTCAAGGAGCGGAAAGATGAATGTCTGTGCCCAGTTTATCCTCATCTTTTTGTACAGTCCAAGATTCTAACTGGGGAATGGGGCTGGTCACAGTGGGCAGGCCTTTCTACCTCAATTACCCTAATCAAGATAATTAATTCCTCATAGGCACACCCAGAGGTTCATCTCCCAGGTGACTCCAAACCTCATCAAGTTGGCAACTGAGATTAACTGTCATACAAATGAAAGAAAGCCAGTTATAAACAAAGTGAGGCCAGCAAGTTGAGTCAGTGAGTAAAGGCACCTGTTGCCAAGGCTGATGACCTAAGTACAATCCCAAGACCCCTAGGGTGGAAGGAGAGAACTGAGCCCTGTATGTTTCTCTGTGACCACACATGCTGCAGCAAGTGAGCATCCACACACACACAAAATCAATAAATACAATAAACACATTTTTTTTAAAAAAGCAGAGGAAATGTATCTTAAAAACATTTTTTTCTGTACTTCTCTGAACTTTTCTGACACAAAGCTGGTGACGAGAAACAGGTGGATGTTTATGGCAAAGCCCATGAAAACTTTACAAGCAACTGAAAGATGAAATGACAACAAATAATAAAAATTAAAATAGTCATCTGTCCTCTCATGTTTATGGGATCCTCAGTATAGGAAGCACAGGCACTAAGGTTCTCGTGAGTTCAAGGTCAGCCTGGTCTACACAGCAAGACTCTGTCTCAAAATACCAAAGCAAAAGAAACAGGAATCTTTTACAAAACTGGATCAACATAAAATGCATCATCAAAGTGAAAATAAATGGTACCCAAACAACCAACTCCCTACGGAGGCAAGGAAACTTCATTGCTTGGAAATTATAACTTTTATCTTTCTTTTCAATTTTTAAAACATTTTATTATATTTGTTCAGAGAGAGGGAGAGAGAGAGAGAGCATATACCACAGAGGTATACAGATGTTAAAGGAGTTGGGTCTCACATTCTACTGTGTGGGTCCCAGGGATTGAATTCAGGTTATCTTGGTGGCAAGCAGCTTTACTTGCTAAGTCGTGGTACCAGTCTGCTCTCTGGGTTGGTTTTCTTATCTTCCGTTCTTTTCTGATTTCAAATCTGTCAATATTTAGTATCATTTTAAGAAGAGGGTCTTCATTTGGTTGCCTATCGGTTTACTGTGTACTCTATTATATGACTGGTCCAGGAACAATGTTAAAACAATAATCGTAGTCGTGAACATTTGGAATCAACTCACCATGAAGATCTATCTTAGAGTTATAAACAAGGACTGAGGTACCAATAGTGAATGAGCCTGTAATCCTAGCACATGGGAGGGTGGGGCAGGAGGATTGCTTTGACTTTGAGGGAAGCCTAGAGTACAAAGTAAGTTTCTGGTTGGAGTGGGCTACATAGGTTTAAAACAAAACCAAAAACATAAGAACATGCCCATCAGCTGGGTCAAGGGCAAGAGGATAGAGTCTAGCCTGGGCTATACAGCATGCAGAATTGGTAGGTGGGGGAGAGGAAGGAACAGAGGAGAAGGGGGAATGAGTGGAATAAGGAAGAAGGGGAGAGGGGAACGATAATTTATTTAAAGCTGGGTAGACAAATTGTTTATTAATCATCGGTGACTTAAGTGGGCAGCCAAGAGCTTCCATATGCAGGAGGCATTAGGTTATCACACCTCAGCATTTAGACTTCAGAGTCAGCCTGCCTGGGCTCAAAACGCACTTCTACCATGGGTTTGAATTCATGGATAAAGCAATCCATCATTCCATGTGTCGATTTTCTGGTCTGCAACATGAAGGCAATGCCTACTTCACAGGTTTAGTATGAGAATTTGATTGGAAAAATCCAGCTAGAGGATTTGACAAACATCCAACCTTCAATAAACGTAAGCTACTGCTAGGTAGCCTGGGAACAAAACCAAGATAATAACAAAGGGAAGACACAAATGGTTCCATGTAATGTACACCTGAGAAAGTATACAGGATGGGATAGGGCCAGCACATCAAAAACATGGGTTCTCAGAAACGAATCATGAGAGTAAAGAAACAAAATTCTAACACTCCAGAATGACTTGCTGGATACCCATGTGTCAAAGAGAAGCCTGCATGAGCAATTATACTCCAAATGCAGGCACTGACTCTGCCTTGGTTCCAGAAATACTTGCCAACACATAGGGAGAGGCTTTTCTTTCATTCCACAAGAAAGAGAAAACAGACTAGAAGATGAGACCATGATAGGAAATTTGCTTTCTTACAACCCCAACATTGTTAACATCATTTGTTCCCTACAGGCATCACAGTGGAGGGACTTTTCCCAGAAAACCCACAAGTCTCAGGTACATTTCCATTTCTGGAGGTGGGTATCCTTCTCATTGAGAAATAGTCATTGAAGCTAGGCATGGGAGCATTTGCCCTTAATCCCAGACTTAAGAGGTAGAGGCAGGAAGACCATAGCAAGTTTAAGGCCCAACTTCCAGGCTACCCAGAGATATATAATGAAAAGCTGTCTCAAAAAAAAAGTTGACACAATAGTTATACTTATTTGTGGACCACTGTGGGTGATGTTTCAATATATATGTAATATATAATGATGAAATTTTGAGTAGCATATTCGTCCTCTCAAATATTATTTCTCTATGGTGAGAACATAAAATCTTCTGGCTATTTTGAAATATACAGCTTTTAAAGTTACCAATACTTTGTGAATTATAGTTTCCCACTGTGTGCATGTGTTTGATGCTATTCATAACACCTTTGAACGTTCTAAAAGCCAGGTGTGATATCATACAGTTCCAGCCCCAGTTCTAAGGAAGTTGTGGCATAACGATGCATGTTCCAGCCTGGGCTGCATATCAAGGCCTGTCTCACAAAAAAACAAAAAGTGTTAAATATGAGTATCAACGGAATGGCATTCTTTTGTGGGCACTTGGGAGGTTTTCAGTGACTGGCTTTCTGAGTGGTTCCAAACACATAGGCCCCAAGACCTAATTCTTAGTGCATCACTCTGTTTCAATTAGCACTTGGCACATGGAGGATACTAAATAAACATTTTTAAAAAGGGGAAAATAGAATTCTTTATAACAAAAAATATCAAATCAGGGCTTTTCTTGGAGTCCTTTGGATGGATAGAATTTGTTTTTCCTTATGTAAACTCTACGTTTTTCTTAGAAGATAGTGTGTTTTATTTTTACTTTACTTTGAAAGCCAGTAAGTTGTTATATTCTAATCAATTTTCCTTTCTTGTTCTTTGATTAGTGTTGTTGCTATTCTTATGAAAATGGAACCCCAGGGTCTATATCTACTTTCAACATGGAACTTAGTATATTCCTGTTTGGGTAATCTCTTGAGTGACTCAGGATATTTAAAAAAACTTCAGTAGTTTAAATTTTTTCTACCCTTGTCCTTGTTCATCCTTAGGTTGTCATCTGTTTCCAGAGTAGTGGCAGGTCACACTTGGGTAGTACACACTTAGAGAGAATGAACCATCAACAGATTACTAGCAAGATTTGATTGGTTTTGCTTATCAAGTTCCTGTCTGGTCTTGTCTTCAGACTACAGTGTAGTTGGGATGGTAGGTTCTTCCAAGTTTAT